ACTTTTTCTTATAGTGGTTTAACTATGTGGAAACACTTAAACATAGGATTTTTGAGTCGTCTCAGTAGGTTTTGTCGAACCGAATCGTTAAATAACACATTATATTTTTCTTGTTCTAGGCTTAATTCAAATATGCTCGTCCTTAATCTCCTTATAGAGCTAGCTTAAATCGAACTCACTTCAATTCGGCCGCTAGCAGTCGACTTTGGATCGTAATCTGCGTAGTGATTTTAAAAATAATAATAATATTAGGCAAGTAAATAGTATTCTAGTAGAGTTATCGGTATGCAAATGAGCTTATGGAAAATTTATCCTCGGTTTTTCTATACACATAAAACTATAAAAATTCTCTAAGCGAATTCCTACGACTGGCTTATAACACCAAATATAGTAATATTATATGCCACGAGTGCATATTATAAATATTATATGTTATGCATTTCGAGTAATACAAGTTTATTGGCATGTAATTCAGAGAATTGACCGACTGTCGTTAATACAAAACACACATTTGTTTTACATTATTATTGCAAAAATCTCAGTACGTCTCAGTTGTAATTGTATTATTTTATACTGAATTTATATTTTGATTTCGTATCGCTCTTTTATGTCCGGTGATTTTTTTTTTTAGCATATTAATGATGTAACTGTGATTTCATGTATTAATTTGAAATAAAATATGCATAAACAATAAACATGAACACAGTCCACAGAATTAACCATAACTCCATCGTAAAGATCTCTAAACAGTGATTTAAATGTACACATATTTTCTAATGGTTTTTGTAGAGGTTTGGTAAAACATGTCATTAAAATAATTTTTTTTTTGAGATTTTTCAAAAGCATTGAAGTGTAATTATTAGAGTTATAATATTTTAAAAAACTTTTATTAAAACACAATTTATTGTGTTAATAATATATTACTTGCTGTCAAATTATGTTACATAATATTGAGATGTTTTGTCATTTATTATAAAATATTATTTATTTCTTTATTTTAAAAAACTATTACTGTGTGGCATACAATTAGTAATTGAATATTAAAACACTTTGCCACATCATTATAGTGTTTTTTAGCTTCGATGCGATAGCTGAACAGGTACTAGTATTATAATCATGTGTTTTTTTGTATGTTTTTACTACATTTTTTTACAATCTCAGTTAAGCGATCAAAATTTACAATTATTCGTTTTAATCAAAAACTGTTTTTAGTTATAACAAATAATGTAAATTTTAGCTCCTTAACGTTTTCCATCACTGTCCAATAACAAATGACTTATCATACAAAATTACATTACTTCTGAAAAAACAATTTGGTTGTTGTTAATTTATGACACAAGTGTCCACATCTAAAATGTTATTTTGAGAATTAAAAAGCCAGTACAGGTCACAGGTTTACGATAAGTAATAAAATCACTTTTAAATAAACGCTTCGATGCGAATCTATGGATTGTACCACTTTAATTGGTAATCGGGCAGTTTTGTTTATACAAAATAATATATATATATGTACACTACAAATAAGTATAATGTGTCAAAAAGAAAAGTTACATCCAATCGCTACTGGGCTTATTGGTTATCGCTATAAGTGCACAATCATCACTTTTATGTATATTGAAGAAGACTCTTCTTGTTCCGAAACCATTATAATATTGTGTTAAGATCATTACCATTTAATGCGCGTTTGAGTACTTCATATAATTTGGCCGTTGGACCTCGTTGACCAATTCTAAATTAGAAATATTTATTTCATTACCGGGTAAATGATGTTTCAACAGACTGTTAATTTTTATATGGATTTCTATGTACTGCCCCATCGTTATAAATCGACCAATATTGTAATTGACCTATATATTGTCATATTATGTCAAACAAATAGATAGTACTTGTCTAATACCGAGTTTCAAGTTTTGATAGACAGCGGGTAAAGTATATGACTGAAGGAACGCTCTTATAGAAGTCAATTGCTCGGATTTATATGGTCGTGTTGATTTGCCACCACAGTTAACTCTATTTCACTCTATTAAACTATCATTTATTTCACTTACCAGCGCGTCTAAGAACATAGTCTTGAATTTATTTTCAAAGTCTTAGACACTTTTTGATTGTCGTCACTTCTACTGCAAATTATGTTTCGAGACTTGTGTATAACTTCTAAATTAATAATAAGAACATACATAACAATTAGTTTAAATCTGTGCGTGGAGTTTATTGTACTCGTTGTGTTATTTTTAAACAAACTAATCCTTCAGCGTCGTTTTGGATTATCAGGAGTGATCGAAATTAGGAAATTTAAAAAGGAACTCGAGTGGAGAAAGAAAAAAAAACTTTTTTTTAAGAGCGCGATGCCAAATGTGTATTGTCCCGTCTCCTTGACTAATTTTTCATACGGTATTTATTATATATGATCAAAACTAGACTTCCGGTGTTAAATTAAGCACGGTTTTCAGGTGGCGCAGTAATTTCCAAAACCAACAACCGCACACCATCGACGCCTAAAGTGTTATTTTATAAATATATTAGTCCTACACGATTATATTACAAGCCATACACTGCAACACTGCACGTCGTATATCATATAGCTTATATTATTATTATTTTAACGGCGCAATATAAAATACAGGTTCTATAAATTTGAAGATTTTCAACGACTGAAAATATGTAGACATAAAATATCCAGCGCAACACTTGCAAATTGAAACATTTACGTTATTGCAGCGCGATTATGATCTTGGGCGCTTGTATATTTATTTATAAATTATATATGTTTAAAAAATGTTAATCCGTGAAATAAATAACGTCCGATGAACGCGAGTTACAAACACATTTGCATGGTAATAGATAAAAACCGTTTCGTGTAAAATATACCCGAAGCGTCCACACGTGGTGGACCGGTGTTTGGTTTTGTTCACATAATATTATAATATACAGATTAACGATAATGGTTGTATATTTGCGTTGCTATTAGTCAACAGAACAACAACATATATCAATTAAGTACGGACATAATATTATCTTTTTCGAGCTTAATCTCCATCCCGGTCGGTCCGATAATAACTGTATTCTAACGGTACACCAATGAGGGTCCACCGTATTGTATCATATAATATGGTTGTAGAATGCTAATGATATTTTCCAGTGTTAACCTGTGCCGGATTCGTAAACTTTAGCCAATTGAAAATTGGAGCACGGTATAATATAGGCTCTGATTTTCTAGATATTACTCTACAAACTACAACAGCTCGGGTCTGAACGAAGACTCTTATTACTCAAAACGTGCATTTTGTATACTAATATAAAATAAAGAAATATGTTTTCTCCATTTGAACGCGGTACGACAATATTGGTAAGATTATTTATTTAATAAGTGTATTGAGAGAGATTTCAGATAATAATAATTAGTAACATATAGAATTGAAGTTAACAGTACACATTTTTAAATCAGTGTGGTAGTTGGGCCCGCATGATGGTCGCACATCTTCCCATGAGGGACCGTACAATAATATGCCAAACGAAAATATCATTCAATAATAATTAAGAATAATGCATAACTAAGCATGGTAGTAGGGTCGTTACAACGGTACACTAACAATTAATATATTTATTATAAAATAATAGTTATTCTCTCTATTTTTACCTGTAACAAGTTATTGTATAAATGTAAGATCGAAAAAGCGTTTGGTTGACATTATCATGGAGGGGTAATGAGATAGTGATAAGTGTAACCTAAGTATATCCTAACGCATATGCCAATTTTTTGGAATGCTAGTTTACTTCGGTGTCGTTGCAATTTATCAAGTTCAATTGCATACTTCAAATGCAATTTGGGCACTACTTATAGGTACAGGGCGTGACCGTGCATCTATGAGCCCGTGAATTAAGCCCTTTTCATACGTTATTAGTTATTGTACACTGTGTCTAGCATAGGTACTATCTAGTATCTAATGTTGCATTGACCTAATGAACTAAAATATCATAACCAAAATCTATTCACACCATAATGTACATACACTAGAAAATATACTGGTCATAATTTATTATTATTATTGTATAAACTCATAAATAGATATTATACTAAGGCTTATAAGAAGAAGCCGAATAAATAAAACATTTTTTTTGAACAAATATGAATTACAGAATCCTGGGTAGTTGGTCATGATAACACTGATAATATTTTCTATAATATGATTGGCTGTAAATATTTCTACGCTGTTGAATGGTGTAAAAAATGGGACAAGTTCTATTAACGAAAATCCTGTAATCGTTAGCGCGTATATACTAGGAATAGGACAATAACTATAATCACGTGAAAAGGATTTAACTCTAATTATCCAAATTGTGGTTGATATTTTAATACGGGAGTTTTTAACGTTATCTTCTGTTTATTACCTATTTCTGTATCGAAAATCTTGAATTTTTTATAATATAATAGGATTAAGATTGTACATGCATTAAAAACTTGCGGATGTGGCTTTTAAATTTGATGATTTTTTAATTGAAGGGTTGAGTGGATAAACGCTTTAGTCAATATACTTATATAAACTTCAATATACTTATTAAAATGCTCGGAACTTTTTTAAAATGTTTAAGCTCAACAAACACATTCAACTGTTTTGAAATTTTACTAAATTGTGTATACACTTTCAATTCGTTCGATAAAAAACTATTTTCCAAAAAAAAAAAAAAAAAAATGTCACTCAACACCATTCAATTCCACTCACCCCTTGAATAATTATAACACTTTAAGTACACCCAAATCCGGTAATGATTAATAATGATTACAATATATATTGTCGGATCCGAGTTGCGGTCGTTGTTGTTGCTGTTGTTGAGTTGTTGGCGAGTGGCGGTACTGTACTGTCTTCAGTGGCGGCTGCGGCGGGGCGAGTTAAATGAGTCGTTATGGAGCTGTCAACCGGCGGCGTGCTAGTCATCCCGTTTTGAAGAAGGAGTGGCCGCCGCCGCCGCCGCAGCCGCCACTGCCGCGCTCATGTTGTCGGGATGTTCAGACTCTGCACTCGGATCACGGCTGATGGTCGCGGTACATGTGCTATTTCCGTCGCGCTTAATTATTATTATTATTATTTCACATAAACGTCGTTTTCGAATTTGAGTATAATATTTTTATTTTTGGTTTATAAGTATTATATTTTTTAATAATAACGTCCGCGAATGTGTCTGTGCGTTTTTACCTATCGCTTCGTCCGGATTTTTATATAATATTTTTAAATAGTATTATTGTTGTGTATTTTTTTTTTTATTCTCCAGTGTTGTTGACGCGGTAAAACTATAATTTTTGTTTTTGTTTTTCAAATAAAAAATCCTACCCCGGTGTGTATATTTCGCGTGGTGTTTGTGTACCCGGTTATAAGCTACTCGAGGAGATATTATTACCTATTATCGTTTTTTAAACTGCGGATTAAGTGCGCTGCCGGATAGTTTCCCTGGATCATTGGAACGCGCATACCCGTCGGACTATTTTGACTCGTGAGTACCTTTTGTGTGTTTACTCAAATTTAAAATAAATATTTTATAATAAATATTATATCGCAAAACTTCAAAATTTTGATTTTGGCAATCCATGTTGCGTTTTAGTCGATTTGAGGCAATAAAAAGTTCATAAAATGAAAAACAATATTAATCAACAAAAAAACTACAGTCTACGTTATTACCCTAGCGATTTTGTTAGCTAATATACATACTCTCCAAACGTCCGGCTTAATAACATACTGTAAATAGACAACGGTCTTGGTGTGTACAGATTATAATGATCTATATAAATATAGATGTTCTCCCTGGAAATCTGCATTTCATAAAATTAAACTGACGGTAAAGAACCCTAAAATTTACATTCATTCATCCTGTGATGTACAAATTTAAATCTAATATTTTTGTTGTTTTTTTAAAATCGTTTTCGCTAGATATTCCATATTTTCCTTTTAAATACTGTGAGTAATGAGATCTCAGACAGAGTAGTCCATTATGGCGTTGTAATAGACATATGGCCGTTGTATCAATTAAACTAAAAATATCAATATACAATTAAATTTATAGTTTCTGTTTTTGTTAAACTACCTTTAAATTTTTAAGAATAGCTGGTACAAACTATTTTTTCGAAAACCAATTCATGGTAAACATTATTTGTCAGGTATAAAATATATTCGATTACCATAATTATGCACACGTGTTTACCATTTTTTTTTTAAACCAACAGTTAGGAATAACTTAAACAATTAATTGAAAAGTCTTAAGTCTCTATTAATAACGTTTGATAACATTTAATAACAAACGTCGTTAATTTATTACTAGCTACTCGTCGTTGTTGGTCGTTGGCGTAAGGATTTATAAATATGGTTAAGTTAATGTTATATTACTGTTTAGTTCTTTTTGGGATTCCGCTTAAGGATCTATGCACACAGTAAAGGGATCCACCGGCTGGAGTTGTTTTCCTCGTTGCCTGTATGTAAACGTCTTCGCAGGATTTTGTGTTTACTGTTTAGCCTTTCTTTTTCTAGCTATTTTTTTATTTTTATTTCGAGGGACTCGCGCGTCTCGTTATTGTCCGACGATTTGTATACTTCTGGTGTGATTTTTATTTTAAACAAAGTCTATTTCCGGATGTTGTTTGACGACCCACGTCCAACTCGAACGGTGGAGAAAAAAATTAAAAAAAAGTAAGTATTTAGAAAAAACGGTCACGTGCACCGTCGATAATCATTCGTGTTGTCTGGAGTTTCTCCGGTCGAACCCGAATTTCGCCCGGCTGGCACTTATAATAATATTCCCAAAGTAATATAATAATATTTAATTACATTGCAGTCAACGACGTTGGATTCCCTGAATTGGTCTTCAATATTATAGATCATGATTGGATATAATTTTATTAAGTGTTTATGTGTGTCTTCCAACGATTACCGCGCATTGTGGGAATTCATATTATTCTGTACGTTATTTTTTAACCATTTTTTTTTTTCATTTGTCATGTCTATCCATGTACAACGCGGTCCACTAAAAATCTGTCCACTCGTCATTTTCACGGAATAAAATCCAAAACACTAACGCTTCGGTTGAATATTACATAATAACGATGTCTGCTATTTTTATTAATTTTTGTAAATATCAAAAAAAAAACCGCTCGAGTCGTGGTTATTCGGTTACCATAATAATAATAATAACGCCCGTCGACAAACTAGTGATTTGTAATAATAATTATGTTATTATCGTTATGTATATACACGCAAGCTGACCAGAGGCGCGACAATTATTACAGTATTGTGAACAAATAATATTTTTAGTACGTCACTGTCATCTCTTGTCGGAGGCTAGCAAAACTCTGGATTTTCATAAGCACAGGCGGCTAACAATTTCTCAGACATTTTTTTAATAGTTTGTAAATAGGCTGTAATGATGTTTTGGCACGAATTTTGAAATTTCTAAATTGTTTAATTTACAAAAATGTCTTATAAAGATTTTGAAAATATTTCCAGTTTATAAATCATCATTAAACACCATTTTTTGGTAACTAAAAAATGTTTGGAACGTATTTCATGTCGAACCATCATTAGGTATAATATAGTCAAAACATAATATTTAATAACATGTTTGATGGCAATTTGAAAATATTTAAAAAATGTTTGCCTTGGAGGCTGTTAGTTTAGACTAGGTTAGGCGTCAGTTAATTATAGATCAATGGTACATAATCCAATTAACGTTTTTTTTGTCGGTTAGACAACGAAACAACAAATATCCAAATTACAGACTTTGCACGTTGACCGTATAATTATTGCATGTATGTTCTTTTTTTATAGAAATTTTAGCATTTTACTCTATTAAATCTCAACAATTCTGAACGGTCACTCGATTATACGGAAGGCAAGTGTGGTGTTGTTGTGTTTTAAATAATTTATATTAGTTCGACTTTAATACCAGTAATAATCGATATAGCTATTACGTTTCTACAATGTTATTAACCCAAAGCTTTTAACACATTCTAAATCGGTGTCAATTTGATAGATCGAATGACTAATATCATAATATAATACAGTTTCAACTAAACTGATATTTTTGAATAATGCATTTTATACTTTGAAGTATTGGATTAACTTACAGTTAACAATAATGTCATTATCGTGGCATTTTCGGTTTTTTTGCGGTAATTTATGGGATTGTCTTTAGTTATATTCAATTTTCGAATCGTCTACCGTGATTTATAATGTATTGTACGTTAATGTATATACTATATTGGCCGTGCCTTTACTTTATACAGTGTGTGTGTATGTGTGTGCATTTTACGTGGATTTACATACGGTACCTCTTCTCAGGGATAATTTTGTAGCCTTATAATATAATAATAATAATATTGTTGTTGTAAAAGGCGCCGAACGGTGTTTACCTGAAGGAATTTTCACGGGGGTGTTGGCCATTCAACGCGTTCACACTCGACGACCGTTTCACATTGCAGTTATGCAGTACAGCTCAACACAACATAATTATCTCCAAAAAAAAAAAAAATATTTACACATATATATATATATACATTATTACAAAGTTTATTTTCTAATCCGTGTCGTAACGGCTGTATGCATATTTTTTTAAACGCGACGTCGGATTATGTTTTGTTTTACTTAAAGCGTATACACGAAAAAGAAACTCTGAACTCTAAAGGATATTTATCGACGCTTCGTATTCGATAAAAAAAAAAAAAAAATCAATAAGACAATACCTCATCATAAATCAATCGTATAAACCGAACGCGTTTCCTAATCTTCGGTTTATATAGGGTTAAGGAGCTCAATGAAATAATAAAATAAAATGGCCGTATAAACCTACACAACGCGTGTACCTCTCTCTATATGTCTCTTATGTTTTAGTCTTAATACCTTTATATATACACTTAATGTGACTGCACACAACCTCTTGGGGTGTAGTGGTGTACGCCGTACCTTTTTTTTTTTTGGTTTACACGAGATTAGGATCTCATATAGGATTAATCGTTGTTTACAGAGACAGCAAACGCTGCACATACGCTCTCCATTTAACAGTACTTATTAATCGTTCGAATCCGGTTTAAGCGGGTAATGCCCAAAAGAAAATATTTACTGTCATAAGCACGCATTCCGTTTTGTTTTTTTAAATTTATTTAATATATTAATATTGATTTTATGACGGTAAAATATACAACAAAAACCGTGTATTTTTTTTACTACAAACATTATAATTAATAATAAAGTACACAAAACATGATATCTATTGACTATTACACACACACACACCCATATATACACCTTAAACGTTTACCCGACATCCACAAATACGTTTACTGACTTTATTGAGTTTTCTTGTACAACATACAAAACTAAAACACGTGTACTTGAGGTAAATAACAACTATACTGTACAAGTAGCTTCTTGAACGCAAACAACGCATACTTAACGAAACCACTCTATCGTTATTAAACTAATTAATATACACAATTTTGAATACATGCACGAAGACGATCTTAAAAGAATTTAACGTCATACGAAGCTAATACGATCATTGATGGCACATTTTTAAAAAATTTAAATATGGAGAATACTTATAAAAGTATTGACATAAAAATACATTATTTTTAAATGACATACAAATTGTGTGTTTTTCGATTGATAAACTTATTAAAATAATTGTATTTATATTTCACTTTCTCAGTCAGAGATTAAATTTAAAAAAAAATGTTCATATATTTATTTGTAATGTGAGTCTGTTTTTTTTATTTTTAAATATATCATCACAAGTCTTCGGTAGTACAAAAGGTTGTGGCGTTCGCTGAACAAATTATTCGGGCCATATCAATTTAATCGAGCCCTTATAAACAACGGGCTACGCTGAAAGGGGGTAAAAAATGGTAATTAGTACATGTAGGATGTAAAATAGTGTTTATTCCAGTGTATCCTTTGTCGCACGCGAGACGAACATAATACTATTTTGTATGCGGGAAAATAATACCGGTAGGAGTTGTCTATTCACATCACCAACATGTCTACAATATAATATTATGTTGTGTATAATGATTACAAATAAACTGTATTATAATCATATTATTAAGCACAGCAACTACGACGTCCATTTGGATTTCGCTACTTATTGACCTGTGTATAAAAAAAGTGGTGTAAATTGGTGTAAACTAAACGACCGAAATAAGATACATATGTAGGCTGGAGGTATGCGGTAACTGAACTGACAGTAACTCTTGAGTAGTGAAAATATACAAAACAAATATATTTTAAATAATAATATGTAAAACCAAAATCTCCGGGCAAACCGATCCCGAGTCTGAGTCGTGTACCAGCTATTATTCGATACACTCGATTGGTGGTAATCCAATATAGCTTCGGTTAGGACAACCGCGGACCACGACAGGTAAGTATATTATATTATATGTACTTAACAGCCGTTTGCCCGTGTTAATGGTTAATTTGACGTATGTTTTCACGTCCACGCGCATATAATACATAAATTAATGCGGCCGACGGTTTAAGTCGTTTGTCAAGCGGATTCTATTAAAAAAAAAAAAAATACAGTGAATACTCGTAATAATAATAATAATAATTATATACAATTATCGTGTTGGCGCGAAAAAAAAAAATTACAGGCTTACGACAACGACGACACATAATAATATTATTATGTATTTTTATAATATTATCATCATTAAAATACTATAGGTACAAATGGGCCGGCGTGTACTCAGCTTATTTATATACACAACGTAAGGTATAATATGTATTAGTATGACGTGTAATTACGGGTAATTTTTCTTTTGCTCGCCGCAAACACATTAACATGCCGTCGGATAAACTCGGCGATTTCATACACATGTTTAATGGTCTTACTTTTTTTTATTTGCTAACAAGCTGCTCTTAAGTCTCGTCGTTCGACTTGGGGTAAAATATATAGGTATTATATTATATCGTTGGAAACGGCTAATGATGACAAACTAAACAAGTTTACCTGCGATTACACACCAGTGCGCAACCATTTGTGGAGCGGTGAAAACTAAAAAAAGCGTCATATTTTTTAATCCTTAGGGGCAAAGCTCTAAAAAATGATCTATCCACAGAACCAATTAACGGCGTTGGTCAGAAAATCACAAGCGTTAAACTACCTTATCGGCCGACTTTTTCCAAAACGTTGTTGCTTATTTATTCGAAATGATAATTAATGATTATGTTTCGTACTCGACCTTAAAAATGAATAAATCACCACAATGGTCGCCAGTAGTTTGGTCTGTTTCTTATTACAATGACAACTGATTCCCTAATAATTTGATTTATCATTTATTTATGTAAGGGCATAATTATTAAGCGAACGCGACAACACGGTATTTAATAATAACATAATGTTAAGTATAAATATTATTATCGTTTGACGTTTTTGATCCATTAATGATGTTAGGTGTGCGTGTGAGAGACCCAGGATATTATTCAAGGCTTAACCCCGGCAACGATTCCACCCGTACACAATCGGTCGGTGATCACACACACACACACACATACCGTGCGCTAATGTCTTTATTAACTTCTTCTTCTTCTTCTGCTCTTACACTATAATAATAATATTATACACTACTATAATATATAAGCAACAGAAAACAACGGCAACCGCGGCGGCGACGGCGGGTTGTATTATTATATTATAAGCGGTGCAACGAACTGGCTACAAACAACGGCGGCTAACCTCCTCTCACCGGTCGCTCACATATTATAACACAACAGATAAAGACATCATCATCATCATCATCATCATAGTCGTGTTGTGTATAGACTCTTCCACGGTCGGCCAGCAGCAGTCGTGGTCCACCATCGATGAGCCCCGAGCACACATAACATACAGAAACACCCACCGTGTAATCATATAGGAGGTATGCCTCGGCTTCAAATTATAGGCGGATTATAACTGCGTCGAACGAATGAGATAAAGAGAGAGAGAAACGAAAAGATTTATATCTATACATAATAAATACACATACACACACACAGTTATAGGCGCAGGAGATATTATTATTATAACTATTATTGCCAGCAGTCGTTGTTGAATTTCAACTATGCCAAAGAAACAAAAGGAAACGCGCCGGGTAGTGTAGTGTATGTGTATGTATAATAATAATAATAAATATAATATATAATAATAACGAAACGCATCCGGACCAATAGCACATAGTGATACCCGGTGTATTGTTCGATTCGAATAACTAAAAAAATAAAACCGACGACGGTCCGAGAGGAAAAAACAACGAGAAGAAGATTTCTGTATCGAGAAGAATAATTCAAAAACCGATCAACGGGTCGCATGGCGCCTTAATTACATTTTAACGTTTTCGGCGCGGCAATGACTTTATTGGTGCCTACCTATAGCTATAATATAATAAATGTGTATACATATATATTATATATATAGGTTACGGGGGTACGCTATACAACGGTATTGTAATATAATGCGTTTGAATTTTTACAACTTTGTACGATATAATCATATATTTTATTATACACTAGTATCTTACCTGACGGACGGTTCGTGTGTGCCTCCTCCGTTTTTATATTATTTTATTATACATGATAAATTTGTATTTTCTAACACAACGGTCGACAAAACGCATAATATATATATACCTATATTATATTGTCGGGGTAGTCTCTTTTCGGTCAATGTTGTCCGAAAAGCAAAAAACCTAGTAAGGAAAGGGCGATACTTCCTTTTTTTTCCCTTCTAAGCTAATTTTATATACCTAATAATACTAACGTTGTGTGTTTTTTCTGTACACTAATATACAGGTACATGCCCGCCGAGCATCACCGGTGACATTGTGTATGGCCGTTAAGCGGCCAGCGGCGTCCAGCCGTTCGGGTCTGCACCTGCACCGCGTTTGGTATGCCTGACAAGGAGACCATGCTGTACCCGAACCCATTCGACTATTCGGTCGGGTTGTCCCTGCAGTTCCCGTTGTCCGCAGCGCCGCCACCGCCGCCGGACGCCAGAGGATCTTGCATATGGAACCCCAGCCTGATACCGCCGGCCACGTCCAGCCCGTCCACGTCCACCATGGGCGCTTTCCACCAACCGATACCACACAGGTAAGAAAAAAAACAACATAACAAATTATATAAGTATATATCAGAAGAAGACTTTTAGTTGGCATTTTGGTTTTGGGAATTCGATCGGCTAAATAAATGTAAACCGTCGTAGTTCAGTGTTAGAAAACCGTCAGAGGAAAGGTTAGGTTAAGTTGATAATGTCTAAAATCATTTTTTACACCATGTTGTCAGAAATTGTATAAATTAAAATGAATATTATAATTTCATTGAACTAATAAAATATTATTAAATTTTTTATTTAAATATTGTCAGATTACCAGAGATTTTCATAAATTTGCAAATCGATGCATAATTAAAATATATTAATATTTTCAATAAAAAATATCAGTATTTTATAATCACGCTTAGGTAGGGGATTAAATATTCAATACAAATAATGTTTAACAAATTATCATAATATTTAAACTATAAATACAACATTGGGAATATTTTCACAATACATTAACATTTTGTAAATAATATTTTTAATTTAACATTTAATCTCTTGCCGAAACACGATTTTTAAATATACCTACCTACTTTTAAAATAATTGTTAATTGTTTTGATATTTCAAAACAATTAACAATTATTTTTTTCCTGTATTTAGTAAAAAATATTACTTGATCACTTGTGTTATCTATTTAAAATTGTATATAAATAATATGAAATGTTTAAAATTTATCAATTTTTTGAATTCAAACACGAACAACTATTATTCTTTTTATTATAAAGTAGCGTAAAAATTATTTAACCGTGGCAAAAAAATGTGGAAAAAACACTACTTACATTTAGTCATTTTTTTACATTAATCGGAGGAATAAAATAGATGGACCAAATAAAACATGCGTTTTTGTAAAAACATCCAACCCTTAGTGGTCACCATTCTTCTCTTGAGGAGAACAACATCAAAATGGTATAAAACGACTGTCAGAATATATTTTCGGTCGGACGGATACACTTCAACTAGATCTTATCAAATCTGACAAATCTCTCGGCGACGACATTTTTCTTATTATTATTATTTCGAAGAGCATTCGTCTGAGCCAGCCGACCACCACAGTATACCTTTTTTGTATTTTTACCATATAATGACTATCCTCTTCAAAACGGCCCCCGCTCAAAGCTACTACCGTGCACATCGCGTTTCCATCCCATTCCAACCGTCTTAAACCAACAACAATATTTATTCTATTTGCCCATTTGACATCAGCTAACATGATGTGTCGAACACAGTAAGGCGGACAGTTACTGACCGAGTTAATCTGCCCGGTCGATGGTGCTCCGAATGGTGGCGTTTGGATTAGTTATTATTTTTTTTTGCTCCACGGGTAGTAAAAGGGTTCAAGATGATAATAGTAACATCTTACTTATAATATATTGGTACTGACGCGGTTCGCCCTTGACGGGCCGGCGTGTGAAACGGGCTCCACAGTGTATTTTCTAAGTACGTTATCTTAATTTCCTCTGTATTGACCTCAGCCAAACGTGAAATCCAACTCTCTAAAATAATAATATGGCGATTGGAGTGTGTGTATATACATAATAATATTAAAATATTATAATAATGTAATATAACGCGGCAGCGGTAACGAGAAAAAAAGCCACTGCGAAGGTGTCAAAACGCTGATGAAGACGAATCGTAAACGGTTCCCATAGCCGAGACGGGCGCACTCATGATTAGGTGTATATTATTATATTACCAAGAATGGAGAGAAAAAAAACAAAACGACGGCTAAATAATATAATATAATAAAATAATAACTTCTAATGGGCAGAAGATCATTGTTATTATTCCGTTCTTAAGGTGGTCCGGTTTCCTAACCCCCGTCGTGGGTATTTTTATCGATTTTGTAGGGGATGGGATGAACTTTTAAACTTTAAGCCTTTCAAAGGGTATTCGGTGTATGATTTCTTAGCTATTGGCGTGTTATGCATGAAGAAATCTGCAGCGGTTAAAAAGTTATCGTGGACAACAAAATGCTGTGATCAAAACCAAAAGGATGCAAGTGACAATGTTTTAAAAACCAAATTTTGATCATAAAATAATATTCATGACGTTGAACATTTTTTTTTTACATATGTGTTTGTTTCATAGGTTTTCGTCATTTTTTTAAAAGAGATATTAAACAAAAATAGTATGAACATCGCCTACAAGAACACATTGAAAATATATTTTTCATTTTTCTCTCTTGTAATATTATATCACTTGTACTCTTTTGGAGACGTAGACTAATGGTCGGTGTTTAAGTGTATTTTTTTAAAAAAAATATTTCATTATTTTATTTGTCGACTATTAGTCTGTACTAATAGCAACAGTAGTTATAGGAGTAGTAGTAGTAGTAGTAATAGTAGTAGTAGAAGAAGTTGTCTGGTGTGTGGGTTTCAAAAGAATTCACGCCTTCGCGTCGGCGGGAAGACATGGGACAGGAATGTTGTTGCCGTACGGATACATATTATACACAACTGCACTGTGTATTGCGACCCGCGCGGACAGACCGGTAATGCGGTATTTTTTATTATTTTTTTAATACAAGAAAAAGAAGAAGTCATCTACAGACCGACGACGACGACGATGATGATGATGATGGTGGTGATAATAATAATAAATAAATAACAACGTGTATATACGGGTATAAAATATAAGAGGACGATCAGCGGGGGAAAAAATACTCCTAATGCAGTTGTATGTGCATATTTTGAACATTCAAAATTGATTAAATGCCTTACAGAAAATTGAAGGCGGCGGCCGTGTGTCATTCTTGTCTGCGGCTTGAGAATAATGATAATGATAATCATAAATTAAAAAAAAAAACACTGATAATTGGTCGTGTTGTAAATGCACCGCTCGCCGGACGATAATAATAATAATTATACATCATTATTGTCTCTATACTAGGTGTGTATAGTAATTTTTAACCACAACCCTTTGACCGCGGTCCTCGTCCATATAAGTAAACCCCGACAACAAACCGTCAGCCGCACATGTTAATATGATATAATAATTATTAATATAATAACATGTTATTATATGCGTCGGTTGCACGTGCAAAACGGTAACGATAAAAAAGCGATGACTAGGATTGTTTTGGACTGCTTTGGTGCGGTGTTTTTATTTTTTATTTGTCGGCTCTTACTAAAGCGGTATGTGTGTCGATAATCGTACAGGGACCGTTGTCCTTATTCTTCCAGACACAGGTCTGTTTTGATGAGACATTTTAGGAGTCTACTATTGCGGCGCTAATCCGCGTTACACCGTAATAACGTCATTACGTTCACCGTTGATTGTATAATAATGGTTTATAATATATTATAAATATATACACATCATTACTACAGATGTGATCTTTGCTCGGGCTATACACACACCTTTATAACGCACAGAGACGACAAGAGGCTGTTCACCCGTCGCCGCCGTTTGTCCCTGAAACGACGACTGGAACGCGATATTTTATTTCATTTTTATTATTGTTGTACTTAAAGAGTTAAAGACATAATAATATTATATAAAACATTAGCGGCAGACACCGACCTCGACGAAGCTATATCCTTTTTGCCTGCAATTATTGTCCTTGTCGTCGCCGTCTAATTGCCGGCGGACAAAGAACAAATTAACAAATCACCGTTAAGTCTTTTTCTTCATAACATTTATATATATATAAATAACGTGATTAATCGCTTATTGTCATTACTGCGTTTAACGGATGCATATACGAGACGACGACGGTCAATTGAACTTAATAAGAAGGATGTTGAAATTATATTATCATCCTGTCTGTGTGCGATGCCGAGAGACTTCCTTGTGCTGTATTATAATATAAACATTTTTTTTAAATAACTATTTTGATTTAAAAGGTCACAGTCTATTTGAAGTGATACCTATCGATAAAATCGTGGCTAATTACAATTTAATATCAGTTTTTCACAACAAAAATGGGTCGACCCCTACTGTCATTTAATAGGCTAGGTTAGATGTGTTCAATATAACAGAGCTTTTAAATTAGATATAGTTAACTGCGTGTTGTAATATAATTAGAAACAACATATAATATATTAATAATATCAAAAAGGTTTCTTTGTGCAGTTTTATCGACGAATTGCCTACACCTGACTCCTTGATAATTATGTGGTGTGGTGTCCTTTTACCCGACCTAGCCTAGTCCCTTTCTCTGTTTGTTAAACTTTCGATCCGTCCGTGCACTATAAATATATATATATACTCGGATCTTAGGAGATAAATCGAAAAGACAATATTAATATATCGGTCGGTCGACGGGTAAGTGCGATGGGAGGGCGTTGCTGATGGTATATTGTGATTATTATGCCGTCAATAACAATATGTATATACACATTATAAGGTCGGTATGTCCGGTCCAGACGTGTAGCACGGTCGATATACTTTTGGCGGCGGCAAATCAGAAGAAACCAGTTTAATATACAATATTATTTTTTTAGAACTCTGCCGTTCCATCGGAACCCCTTCCAAAAAAAAAAAACAAATTAAAAAACGGGGAGAAGCGTAATTACTTATTTCTCCTCCCTCCCGTTTAGTCACTTTATACTATACAAAAAGAGTGAGCTCCTCGACGATAAACGCGTTAAATCGCCTAAGATACATACACACACACACACTGAGAACAAAACGGGACTAATCCGCACCAGAGGCCAATTTCGAAATAAAGTCATAAAAACCACGATCGTTTGAAAAACTAGTCGCCGCCGACTACATTTCGGCGTGCCTATGTTATATTATTATTATTATACCTTGTGCACAAGCCGCGCACATCGCAGGGATCGGACCAGGAGAACCGGATCCGGCTAATTGGCTCGTTTATAACGAACCGATGACCAATATGCGTGTAATATATTGGCGAGGATAAGAAGGTTTTTTTTCTTTGTAGAAGTAATAAGAGGTGGTATCCAAAAAAAAAATAAACAAATAAAAATGACACACAGCTTATTTTTGCGTCCAGACCGAATGGAATTTTCGCCCAGAGATTTC